GCGCGAGAAGAGGTGAAAGAAGAAGACACTTTTATCTGCTCTGTAGCACAATCACTTCAGACAATGTTTCATCTATTTTCATCAGGGGTTTTTGGCTGTGCTACAGATTAATAGCCTTTCTGGACTGAGAGGGGTCAAATGTGGACCTTAAGGTGAAGGATTTCTGATAATCAAAATGTGTACTTGTTATCTCATCTACCATTTAATATGAAGTTTGTTTTTTTTTTACAAAACTCTTTAAAGTGTGATTTATAGCGTTAAAGAGTGACTCATTCAAGCCTGGGCTCTGTTGTCATGCGAGGAGAAGCTCCCACCATCATGTGGAAGAATAACAAGCCTTTGTCTAACAACAGCAGTGTGTCATCAGCAAACGGCAGGGACACTGTGGCCGGCCAGCAGAGGGACACTTCTCAGCTCCTTAAAGAACCACTGTAAATCTTTAAACAATTTACACAAACAAAAGGCCACTGTGTATGGACGGGGAGAAAAGACACAGGAAACAGATGAATAAGCAACATCAATTACCAGGCCCTGACCTTGAGAGCCCTGGACCAAGGCGTACAATTCACATCAAATGACTCCAGATTGGAGCTGACACGCCTGGAGTGGAGGCTATACAGCATAGCATTTCATGGAGAGGTGGGGTGGGGGTGGGGGGCTATGAATAAAAGATCACCATAATAGGTGTTGCTTTATTTTTCAAGTGGGTCAAAATTGCTCAATTTCAGCACTTAGCCTGACAAAATGGCCACTAGTGAAAAACCAGAGAAACACAGCAGTGGACAGGCCAATGAGCCGCTTAATCAGTGGAGGTGAAGACGAACGTCTCTATGTTATTGTCACAATGTAGACTAAATCATGGTGAACCTACAGTATATGAGTGTGACCTCTTGACCTCCTTTTGCTGATTTTGAAGTCATTGTGGCAACAACACCACAGTTTCTGTGTTAATTAAAAAAAATAGACACATCTTATTAACTATTTTTTTTCCCCTCAAGTCTGAACAGTACATCAGGCGTCACCATTCCCTAATAACATGCAGCACTCAATGAAGTGATTAATTCAAAGCAATTTCGTACTCGTTGGTCATTTTCACTACTATTAAACCCTAAAAATGAGTCATCACGTAAAACAATCTCATAAGTCCCTGTTGGAGCATTTTAATTAAATAATAATAGAAATGATCAATAGCGTAAATATCACGGGTTATGCATAACTGGCTGTATTGATTGCGTTGGAGCCGCAGCAGTGAAGCTCAATGAACAAGTGAACTGTTAATAAAGTACCTGAGCACTGCAGCAAAGCCATTAACAGTGTTTGCGTAAGTGAAGCCCTGGCTGAATTACTGCACTCTTTAATTAGGAAGCACCTTAAATCACAGACTTGAATCTGAGTGAACTTCTTTTTTCTTCTCTCTCCACCAAACCCCCCCCAAAAAAACGGAATTAACAACCTGCCTGTTTCTGCACTGATTGTCACAACACTAACAACAGCCCCCAGACTTGATGCTGCTGGGGGGGGGCAGGGGGAGGGAGGGCGGATTAGTCACAATAATGCATATGTTACAATCACAGAGAAGTTACTTAAAATTCAATCCACTTTGGCGTCATTATCATGTATCAACATAATGAATGACTCCTTCAGAGTATGGTAATTATAATTTGATAAATCATCAGCAGAAAATTAACTAGATGTCAAAACAGTCATTGGGAAGGGTGATGAATCGAGGATGATTGTGGTGATGAATTGTGTTAATCTGCGCAGTATGTATCCAGTGAAATGGCTAAACAGCCGAAGATGGATGGGACACAGAAGCTGCAAGGTCAGAGCACCAAGCTGTAGGAGAGGACGTTCAGAAAGGAGAGCTGTGGCTTTGTGAATGTTAACTTTATTCACTCCACTCGCTGCGTTTGCGTCACTGAAGGTAGAGCTGAAACGATTAGTAAACGGGGCCGGCGGTGAACTGACAGAATGATAACTAGCTATAAAAGTTAGAGATAAATCAATGGTCCTGGTGCTTTAAAGGCTAGGAAATAGCACCTGTGATGGTTTTCTTCTTAGGTGTTATTTATTTGAAAAAAAAAAAAAAAATAAATACTTGTTCGCCACAGTGAAATTATAGTAATGCACAGAATACAGGAAATAAGTGTGTTAGGATAACTGTAGGAAGCTGACTGTCTTTGTAACTGTTGGCAAAATTATAGATGTCACCAGCAACTAATCACAACTTACTATGAATATCTTTATTATCAACAAACCTGCTGACTGCCATGGACAAAAAACTACAGTATTTCAACACAATGTATGAACATTGCAGCATTATCAACTTTGCTGACATCCAATACACTATATACATCTGTACCGTATTTTCCGGACTATAAGCCTCTACTTTTTTCCCACGCTTTGAACCATGCGGCTTATACAATGATGCGGCTTTTCTATGGATTTTAATTCAGCAGCTAGGGGGCGTTCTAGCAGGAAGTGCAAAAATGAGACAGACAGGGGAAGTCAGTGCAAAGAAGAAGAACACGCTAGTTTTTTGGGTACCTGGATATAGTCCGGTGCAGCTTATATATATGTAGATTTATAGGGACCCGCTCTCTACAACTGTTACCTCAGACTCTGACCCAGACGGAGCAGCATTATCAACTTTGCTGACATCCAATACACTATATACATCTGTACCGTATTTTCCGGACTATAAGCCTCTACTTTTTTCCCCCGCTTTGAACCATGCGGCTTATACAAAAAAGCAGTTTTTCTATGGTTTTTTCTTCAGCCGCCAGGGGGCGTTTTAGCAGGGGGTGTGGCTTATATTCAGGTGCACTCTATACTCCGGAAAATACGAGACAGGGGAAGTCAGTGCAAAGAAGAAGAACACGCTAGTTTTTTGGGTACCTGGATATAGTCCGGTGCAGCTTATATATATGTAGATTTATAGGTTTTTTTTTAACTTAGTGGGTGTGGCTTATATTCAGGTGCACTCTATACTCCGGAAAATACGGTATACATATATACACATATATATGTATGATGTATTTTTGTGTATAATGGAAAAAAACAATTTTCTACCTCACATCTCAACGTAACAACCACATAAATTAAAGGTCAAATAATACTACTTTTGTGATGCACATGTTTTTCCTAAAGTTATATTTCAAGGTACTGAAAAAAAAAAGTCTTTTACAACCCCCCCTTCATGCAACTAGTAATCATGGCTCCCTCTTGGACGTTCCAGATATGAAAGATGTGTCTGCTAAGTGAGAGAGGTCAAACACAAGTCCAGATATTTATTACATGTGCTGGAACCAGATGGAGGGAACACATTCATCACAGCACCGTGTCACTGCGGTAACACCCGTTCCCCATAAAAAGAGGCTCTCTTCTCCCAGCGTGAACGCCGGCCTCGGCTGGTGTTTACAGCAACAACCGTGGGTTAGTCCAGCAGCCAGTCGCCTTAATCACCCCCCCCCCATCCCCCTTCAGCCCCCCTTCGCTCCACCTGGCTCCTCTGACTGTGGTTATTTTTTTAAAAAAAAACTTTTTTTCTTTTATCAATACTTTCTACTCTTCAGCTCAGGGAGATATTAAAACCACAGCAGGGCAAAGAAGGGCGTTTCTGACACTTGCTCCCTCATTTATCAGTCTCCTTCATAGGGCCTGTCAGTGACAATGAAAAGATTTCACAATACCGCTAGGCAGAAACTCATTCCACCAGTCATCCATCATGCTCAACCCAGCGACCGTTCCAATGACCTAATCGGTAATGCCTGGCTGCATGCTGGAGACTTCTTAGAGCTCCCCCCGTCATTAGGCCTACTTAGACTCAGGCAGGCCATTGGGCTAAATCCTGTTATTGGGTGGGACCTGGAAGCACATCCAGTTTGGATAAGACCAGATACATCATGATGTCGATGGACCTCACGCCCAAAACAGACGAAGGTATTTACATCTGTGCATCCGCATTCTCTGGGAGAGGCAATAAGAATTTCATATTTGTCACAGTAAAGAGATTTATCCTTGGTGTCCTTGACAGAAGAAGAAGAAGAAAAGTGAAAAAAAAAAAAAACAGTACAACAAAGGAGCGAAAAATACACACCATTAACTATCCGGTACACAAACGGCACATAAAACCACAGCGACTGAAACAACAGCAATACATTTTTCACTGTGCTCCCAACAGAGATCATTTCTGTTGCATTTCAAAGTTGTATATTGGCTGGGAGTGGGGTAAATCTGTCTAAATAAGCTCCTTGCTGGCGCAGAACAGAACTTCTACTTACAAGCCTCACACACACGAACGGAACACACAGACCTGCACGTCTCACGGACGCTGCTCGGAAGAGGTTGAGCCAGGTCACAGAGCCGCTGAGAATTTGGAGCTCACTTGGCGACTCTGCCAGCTCTGAGTTCAGGGAGGCACTGGGTTGAGCGTTAGTTAACACACAGGAGGACAGCGATGGGGTCTGAGAGTGCACTCTGACCCAGCACTGGCTATTAGGGAGAGATTATTCCCGATCCCCCACAGCTGAGTTTGCTGGCACATTTCCCTCATCTTAGCTGTTCCATTTATTACAGCTGTCTAATGTGACCTGTCTCCCTTTTGGAAGTCACTCTTTCATCAACATCTAGGTCAAACTAAGCACGGACAAAAGATCTTCATTGTCTCGCCTTTGAAGAGAATGTTCAACACAACATTTATCCTCTCCACGCGGTGCCAATACCATTAAAGTGAAAAATCAAGAAGCACCCGGGGCAACAATGCAACTTGTGATAAATGCTCAACTTTGTCTATTTTGTTTCTGCTAAGTGGGCTGAATGGTTTCAAAGATGTATAAATTAGCCTAAAGACAAGACGGCAGCTGACCCCAGACGAACTCCCAGACCAGCAAAGTCTCCCAAAACAAACAGCAAACATCACGTTCCCTGACTGCTGCACTTTGTAGGTTACAGTTGGCACTAGTTTGGGATCCACCAAGAAATAATGAGTGAAAAATAACCTTTGACTTTGACTGCCGGCTGTGCAGCTCCTGGTGAGTCGGAGTCGATTGTAGTTGCTCTCTGATGTGTCTTGCCTTGTTTGTAGCCCCAGGAAGAGCAGTTGATTGTGGGTGCTGCCTGGCAGAGGTGTTAAGGCTGCGGAAAATCTGCTGATGGGCCCGAGGATTCCTGGCCGACCCTGCGAATAACACAGTCAGATTTGAACATGCATGGCACTGACAAAGTTGGCACCAACATTTTTCTTTACCAAGATCTAATCACTTTTCCATAGTTAACTTAATATACTGGCCAAGTTTGGGAAAAGCAAATTATTTTTTCACAATTGGACTTTGTTATTTCCACACTTCCAGTCAAAAAGGTGACAAGTTCAAGAATGAGAAAAAAAAATAGAAGTTTTCTATCTGCCCTGTCGGTTTTGTCTTTGAAGATCAATTCTAAGTAAATGTTCTCAGTAAGGACACAATGAATACTGACTAAGATAGTGGAAATAATGGACACACAGTGGAAGCAGGGCTTTGTCCTACTGCCCAGGGTGGAACACAACATGTTTTGGTCGTGAACCCATTTTGATATCACAAAATTCTGGCGACTCCAGAGACATTGAAATCTTAGAAAAATCCATTACCCATTCAAATTCCAGGCGTCCCCGTGCGGTGACCGGATCCCATGGTTGGAAGAACACTGCCTTAGTGCAAGATCATCTCCAAGAAACTCTAAAAGTCCTCCTGCAGTGCAAAAACATGTAAGATCAGGTTAAACGTTGACATTAAATCGGCCATTGATGAGTGTGACTGTTAATGGCTGTCTCTCTTCAGAATGGCCCCGCCCTGGGACCCTGATGGCTACTGGGAAATGAATGAATGGTGTTTACATATCTAAGCTATCAGCAGTGTAACAAAGGGATTACTTGTGTTCTCCTTAGTTGAACGTGTTAGTTGTTTGACACTGTTTATCTTAAATGATCTGTGTGTAAACAGGGTCAATACCAGAATGATGAGAGAAAAAGGCTGCCTCAAGTGTGAGCAACAAATACTCCTGCAACCCCGTGAGGCTGGTAATGCTCATATCCTATTATTCTGCTAACTATCAGCAATTATCTCCCTGTCAAAGCTGCAGGTGACAAATTCTCCCCATATCCCGCCTGGCAGTATCATCAACCGGACATGAGCTTCTTGTGATGGAAACTAAATCACTGGCTCTGCTCACAGCCCTGACAGACAAATGGGGTGCCTTGGAAAAGCTAGGCCCATCACTCTGGGCCGGGGAAGGAAAAAAAAAAGTCTCTCCCTCCCAGCTGACCTTTTTTTATTCACTGAGAGAGGAGATTAAACACCGCGGATTCTGTATGTATGGTCTGTTTCCAAAATATGAGAATTATTAATGGCTTTTGCTGAGGCCCGTTTAATCTTCTGCCAAGTTGCAGTCATCGTTTTTACCTTGGGCTGTTTTTTTTTTTTTTTTTGCCTTACAGATGGTCCCAGAAAAACAGGAACTGTGCTTCATCCTTGCAGCAAAGGCAAAGGAAGTGTGTGGGCTGAGCCTGGGCAGCAGTAATACGACAGAATAATCATCCCTCTTGAGGCTACGCTTTACAATGTGATGCTAACAGTATTTAAAAAAGTCACACGTCTTTGTGAATGGACGTCAACATTCTATATATCTGGCCAAGATGCCAGGAAGACTTCAACACGCGGGCTGCTGTGGATGCCTAATTGTTTCACACCTCCACGGAGGTTTCTCCCTCCACTGCTTGATCATTTTCACCGGCTGAGGATTAATATCTCTGTTGTTATTAGCGGTGTGCTACTTTGGACCAAAGACGCGAGAAAGCACACCTTCCCTCAAGAGTGCATACTTCCAGACACATGAGATTTTTCACAAAGTAGCAACGAATCAGGTCTGAAAGCCAGGATGACGTTTCAATCGCAGCAGCATGCCACAACTGGTGACTTATTTACTTGTCTCTTTGACCCCTTGGCCCAATAAACCTTGGCTGAACAAGTGACCAGAAAATAAACACAGCATTTGTAACCACATGACAGTATCTGCATCTCAGTAAAATACACTCTGACGGCCTTGTCGGCATCAATTCACTGTGTTACAGCTTATGGACCTTTGAGTCTGCTTCTACGGCAAGCAACCAATGACACTGTGTTATGCAGCGTTCTCAGCATACAGGGAAGTAGAGCTACAGCTAATGGATCAACTGCAACTGCTAACAACTCTGCACATTGAACTCTCTCACTCTGTCATTTTTGCTTTTATGCAGTAAGTATTTAACACAGTAATAATAATAATAAGAAGAACAATAATAATAATAATATAACAATAAAACCTTATTATGATTATTATCACCATACATTAGCATCACACATCTCAACCAGAGAGCATTTGACCAGGCTCCCCCACAGTGCGGCCATTTTTAGAAAAGGGAAATATTTCAAAATATATACAAATCTGTATTTTCCCAGTATACATATCTACCCTCCACTGAAACTTTTTTAGTAACCACTGCTAATTTAATTTTTGTAGTACCGCAGTATGTACTTAGAGTCTGGAGCATCACTTAAATGCAAATACACAACTGTTAGCTCGCTCCTCTGGACTGGAGGGTCACTTGTTTGACTGTAACAAACTAGATAAAACTTTATGGCCTGGCAGTGGGAAATAGCTTTGGTTTTACATCTGATGTTTTTACATTAATGTTTCAGTGGAGATTTACAAGACATTCTCTTAACTGCGACGATGTAAAGGGAGCACGCCCAGGTAAATAATTAAAATGGTACTGAAAGTAATCACCCGGCTATAAATAATGATGTCACAACACTGGACCTATAAGGTATTGTCATTCCCTACAGTGGCAGAGTCATGACAGACAATAACCACGCTGAAGATCCTTTTATTTTTAACCTTCACACATTCTTCTTCTCCCTTAGCCAACAGGCCTTGATGAAGTTGCTCCGGTGCGTGGCAGGTAGTGCTGATTGGCTGGTCGGAGTAAATCCCTCCAGGTTGGGTCCACATTAGCACTGACCTGTCATGAAACTAGAAGCTACCAATGGCACCGCCATCTTCAGGTTTCCTTTGAAAGGAGAATGAGTTATTGATACAGCAAATCCATCCAGCAGCTCCCCTGTGAGGGATCAAAGCCACCACAAACTGTCTGTTACATAATGGTCTCTTTGCCCTTGGCATTCAGTGAGCTCTGGCAACGGATCCATACCGAGGGACATTTATATCCCAGTGGGATCCGAAACTTAATTAATAACTTGTAGCCCGCTCTGGAGGCTGCTCCTCCTATCTTTACCAATATATCACCTGGCAGCGTCCACGCACAAAGAGAACTTCAGTAGCCTTTTCTCTCTGACCTTGGCATTTCTTCTCAGCCGCTGATTATTGATAATTTTCTGGCTGCCGTGCCTCTCCTCATTTGTCATGATTATTGCTGAATTTTTAAGCTGTCATCCGCGAGCAGGGATCAATAGTTGTCGACTTCCCCTTTGTCATATTGGCAGCACAAACAGCCCTTCCTCTCTAAATGAGGCTTCTCCAGATTCTCTATCTATTAGCTGTCTGTCTCGCCGGGCACTTGATCCTTTGTTAGGTCAGTCTATACATCATTTCTCTAGTCGGAACCTGACACTTTTATATCACGCATTGGCAGGAACCAAACAGATGAATGAGCCGGTGTACTTTTTATCCCTTTTTTTTTCTTTGCAGAGAGGTCTTCATATCTACAGTGCATTCACTTCAGCACATCCAAGGTTGAGGGATTTGATTTAAAATGCATTCCGTAATGGGTCACAGTTGACAATCCAATTGCTCTGGTGTCAAATATTTCATGGAATAAAACCAGAGCTTATTAATAAATTGTCACAGCACGAGGAGCCGGTGGTAGCTGGTAGCAGCCACTAGCAGCCGACGATGCGTCTCCTTTGACTGTGTGATTTGTACCTGCAGTCAGTCAGTGGCTTCACGCAGCTCTACCACGTCTACACCTATCCCACCATACTCCCTGTTCCTCTCTGCACTGGCTGAACAAGTCTGACAGGCGGATTCCTTTTCTTTTCCATGTATTAAAGGCACTTTCCTGCTCTGACAGCATGCTCTCTTCTGCCACCTTCTAGCTGGAGCTTCACACTACTGTGGGCAGCCCCTGTGTCTTGACAGACCACTGTCACTTCCCATCATCCTCTCTGTAGATCCTGCTCTCCCCCTCTAAGCATGCAGACCCACTTTCCAACCAGTGCAATTATTTTTTTGACAAGCCATCCATCAGCTTTAAGTTTAAAGCACTTTCCACTGATACCCATTGTTACAGTTCTGTGCCTTTTCATGCAGGCGGCAGGACGGAATATGATACGAGGCATTCAGACTACCCGACCATGTAAGTCCACATTGTTCTCTTTTTTATTTTCCTTTGGTTTCATTCCTGCAGAAATGTGCATATTTGTGCTGAGTAATATACACTTGTCAAATCCAATTATCACGTCCCTGCTTGCACGGTGTGAAAAGGGTATAATTTGGCAGTTGACTGAGAAACGGTGACTACTGTCTGACTTACAAGACTTATTGCCATCACACAGGTCTGTTGGTTAGAACATAAATTGTTTCCCCGCTGGTCTGTAAGCTGTGAGATACAGCTAGCTAGAAGTAAACACTTTCAGGCCCAGAGGTTTTTATATATACGTCACTAATCAGCACTGACACCTGTACCACAAACTCACTGTCTGTTGTATGAACACAGCAAAAGTGCTTTATGGCTTTGGGCCCAGTCACTATGATTAGCCGACATCAATACCAGCACATGGACAAGCAGATCCATCTCGCCCCGGCCCACGTAATGAGAATGACAGATTAGAAAATTCGGTCTGATGCAGGATCTGTCTGAGCCTGGAGAAGCCCTAATTACTATCTCTGTGTACCAGTTAATAATGAGAGGTGGGAGTAGCATCTGGGGGACTCCAGGGGATGCTCTCTATCTCCGTCAACCTGTGACATTTGCAGCGTCCTAACAATCCGGCCACCTATGGCCTTCAGTGGTCAGTCATGTCGGCACACGCTGTGAGCAGAGGGACGGGGTTGTAATGTGCCAAACTTGGTGATGGCTCAATTACAACTGTTGTCGTCTATCAGCCTTTATTTAAAATGCTGAAAAATATGGAATTTTTTTAATTTAGTCAAATGTGACGTTACATTTTTCTTTCGAAAGAGCCTGCACCGATCTGCGTATTTAAAGACTTGGAAAAGCCCGGTCAGCATTTCAAACAATTAATTCACGACGAATCAATTGTTGACTAATTCTCCTACACTACAGCAGCTACTTGTCGTTATT